AGATCATTGATTCATGATCTAACACAGGATAAGTTATGCCAGCCATTCAAGCCTTCTAGCTTCAGTGAATCTTTTCAACATCAATTTGATTTTCTGCGGAGCTATTTGCTAATCAACTCTTGCATGTTGAAAAGAATTCTGGGAAACAGTCTTGGATACATACTGAGTTCATCTTGTGTGCTATCTGGGCCTGTGGGATTCATGTCACTTCACCAGCACCACATCCAACATGCTTATTTGGTCCAGAGTAGGAAAGACTGAGAGTGATGTGCAAGCCATCTTCTTAGAAAGTTAGTTAACCAATTACTGATGGTGTGGCCAATATCTGTATACAATTTAGTTGTTCACTAAGTGGAAGAGGGCTTAAGTTATTTCTGAGCAGAGTTCATGGATTCCTTGCATCTGCTCTGAGGGCTCTTCTATACAGGACTAAAACCTGCACTGAAGTGGGTTTAAATAACCTACTTAGCCACTGATTCCAGTCCATACCTACCCACCCAAATCCGGGCTTTCTGTGGGGTATGGCTACATTCCTTCCCAAGCCCTCAATTTAGCCCCTAAAACTCACAGCCTCCATAAAGTTTGCCCTTGAGTCCTTCTGGTGCAAGGAAGAGATAGGTGGGGTGAGGAGGAAAATCCCTCCACCACCCTCTCCTTCTGTCTTCTTGTGCATCATTTTCCACACCAAGAGAACTCAAGGGAAACTTGGTTTGTTCAGAATAAATTCATTTTTACCAGAGGCATCATTTGGATACCTTCAGTAAAAACCAAGACAGGTCCAGGTTTTTGGGTCTGTCTGGATGGGCCCTCAGACATACATGGGTTTTTTTTCTTGACTGGTCTGTCCTCAAATGACTTCCATCACATGGAGATCCTTAAGCTGGGGGAGAGCAGGGGAATCTGTCGGGTAATGGGGGAAACTATCCTTAAGCACCCCGTATCGCCCCCTTCCCCATCACACAGGAGAAACCATTGCTGCCCGGCTTCCTCACATGCTGTCCTCTGCTTAGGTAATAAGAACATGGGTAGCCACTCATGTTCTCAGCACTCCATCCTACAACTCTTCCAGGATGGAGTCATGATGGAGCCCCACTGGAAGCAGCCCTGAATCATGTGATGGGTTCTGGCAGACTCCATTCTGACTCCATCCTGGAAGCATCATAGAATGGGGCAAAAGCCCCATATGATGAGATCGTTAAGTTCTCCTTCCATTGCACTGATCAGTCTCAATGAGGATCTAAAAGATAGTTTGAAGAACAAGGTTCCTTGAAACAGAATATGAAAGGCATTGATCTACTGTGACTACCAGAAACTCACCAAAGGTGGAGGCATTTCCTTCAACTAGAAGTGCTATAGATTTAGGGCCAGTTTAAGAAATTTTGTTACTGTGGCAAAGGCAAAATGGACCTTTTTCATTGCATGTACCCAGGCTGATTTGACTAGTAGTCAAACCTTCTTTCAAGATGCAGATGGGTCAGCATCCTCCACCATACCTGAAGACAGCAGAGTAATTTAGTTGATACAGACCAGGATGCATGGTATTTAACATCTCGAACTTCAAAAAGAAATCCCTCTCATAATCCACTATATGCATTGACCATTTCCATCCACATAATGGTAGAACTGTGTAAAAATATGTACTACCTACTTATGATGTACAAAAACCTCCACCAAACTGATGCCCTACAGATTATTTCAATGTCAGCTTCCTTCAATTCCAGGAAACATAGACCACTGCAAGAATTTTGGGAGTTACTGTCCCAAATCACTTGAAGATACCAGGCTAGGAGTATTCAGATCACAACCCAAAGCCCTTTTGATGGCTATTCATTTTTACAATCAACCACAATGATCCACGGTTCAACAGTTCTAAAGCCAGTTTACAGTGATGCAAGCCCACAAAGGACAAATGTTCTATCCTCCATTCACACCATTTCAGTCATATATTAATGGTATGTAGTACACATTCCACTGAGATAAATAAGAAAGACACAATATTCAATGGTCGGTGGTGGATTGTGCCTACAATCTCTAACTCTTGTGTTTTCATCCAATTCACTTCACAAAAAGAAACCTTATCTTCTTTTCATGTCTGAAGTTTAAAAGATTGTTCTCAAATTCATGCCAATGAAAAAAAATCATCTGGATTACAGGTGTTTCTTTTTCACCTTTCTTTTTCTTTTTCACCTTTCTATTCTACATCAAGAACACTACATCAAGTACACTCAAACGGTATTCAAGATTTCACATGGCAAATGGCCCTATGAATGGAAGTTTCTACTCTGGATCAAACCCTAGCAGCATTATCCCCCCTCTTTAAAAAAAAACTACAATTACTTTCAGTGACCATACTGGCAGGGGAACGATAGAATTAATTACTTTAAAAGTAAATTTTCCAGATTTTTCGCTTAAGTTATGTTGTTGTTTTTTTAGACATCTTGTGCACTGGCAAATTCTAATAATTTGCACATTGGAAGTCAGTTTCAATTGTTATGTAGAGGTATCTTTCATTCATCTCAACAGACTTAGATCTCAAGGAAATTTTCTCAAAGCAAGATTGACTACTTAGATATTAGGGCTGATTTTGTCAACAGGTAAATGATGTGTCAAGAGCTAAGGAAGTCTCCCAGCTGTCCTCTTGAGCACCTAACTGTTTTTAGCTGTTGACACACAGAGCTGAACATGCCACACAGTCTGTCCACTTGACCAGTCTGAGCTCAGTGAAAGATAGCTCTGCCATTACAAGTGCTGAAATAAATTTCAACTGCTAGTTCAGCTGCCCTCTGTCTATAGGATGGGGAGGGAGTACTATTTTGTACCTTGCCTCAAGACAACAAAATGTCTTGATTTGGCCCTGGGAGTACATAGCTCACAAAATCCACACTCAACCACTATTCTTTCTAGTCATGCCTAGAGATGTTAGAATAAAAATACAACTTTTGGACCTCCTGTGTAGAAAAAGCATTTCTGTAGTTCCTAGCAGCAAAACTGCTCTTGGAGGAAGACATTTTGCTTTTCATTTTTAGTGCCCCCAAAATACTTGTGTAAAAGAAATTTAAGAATAACAGCAGCTTAATGTCAAAACACAAAAAGTTTGATGGTGGATGGAAGAACATGAGGAAGATAATAGTCACAGAAAAAGCAATGCGAGAGCACACAGAACATAGGACCTCATCACACTTACCAATTTAAGCATCCTAGGATGCTTGCCAGCCAGTTTAGGGATGGATGGACACACAGCCCATCACACAACATCTCTCAGCTTGCGAAGGAGGCCCCACCCACAACTGGCATGGAAGCATCCTAGGATGTTTCCTCATCAACATGGGAAGACTCCCATGTTGGGCAACACTTCCACTGTGTGATGGGGGAAGGATCGCCACACGGCACAGGGGTGGGAATGTGCTAAGCTCCTTAATTGCAGGGTCATGAGACAGGAACAAGGGTATTTCTTTAAAGCCCAACACATTTTAACAGTTTTTCTTGCTTGGGAGCACACTGGAACTATAGTCCTCACTTGTTTCTACACACTTTGGTAATTTGTGTGGGAAAGGTTAGGATAGTAAAAGTTGGAACTTGATCATATCAAAATGGGGACACACACCTAAAGTTCTATGAATGTGATAAGACAATTGTTGGAAAGCTGTGCGAATGTGGCAAGGTGACTGTATGAAAGCATGCAAGGAGAAAAGGGTTACTTAACAGAGCCCCTGAGGAAAAGCAATGATTTGAAATGTAGTACCATTCAATACACAATATGTATATTTTACATACCAAAAGTTACCTTCCCCTATTTATTTAGGTAAGGATAAGGGAGTGGTATCTATTAGAGAGCCATAACTGGGGGATAGGGGCCCTTTTTTAAAGAGTTCAGCTAGCTGAATCTTCAAACCAGCATGACCAGAAACCAACTTCTTTGGGAGTTTGAAGAGTTGCCATCCAAAAAATTTAACTTTTCCAAGCAAATCTTTGGCATAAAGACTGTCAAAGGGTACCTATTTGGTTTGGTTTTAGTGACTTTATCTGCCATTGTTGTGTTGTTTGTCAATCAAGTTTCAAATACCTTTTAAACTGATATTTTGCTTTTAAACTGTATTTAATTATAGTTAGTTATCTTGAGTGGCACTGGCAGTGGGAAGGAAGGTTGCATATTAAATACTTAAATATTTATTGTGGATGTTTGAAGATTCTAGCAAGAGAGCACAGCCATCGTATACCCTTTACCAAAGAATGGTACACTCCTTCTATCTGGAATTGTTGTCTTCTTCCACCAAACACATAGCTTCAGGATGAATACAAATGGAAGGAAAACAGAGAAAGGGACACCCACCTAGCCAGCCAGATCAGTTGAATCAACCCTGGTAATCAATGAGATGACAAATCCTTTATAGAAGCAATCCTTTATAGAAGATAGTTCTGTATGAAATCTTCATGTTCAGAAGCTGTGTATCACTAAATATCATAGACTGGATACTCATGTCAGAAACAGAGATGTTGTCTCCTGGATGTGCTCATGGAGTCACCAGACATATCAGGACAGACCTTGTGAGAAGGTAGAAGATTACCATTGTCTCATCCTGCAGGATTTTTTCTATGTTCTTCTGTTGTTACGATAATCCTACCTGCCTTATGTATCTTTGTGTTTTCAAAAATAACAATGCATGTCTCCTGAATTCTACAGAAAATAGTGAATTCAGGAGTATGCATACATATGGGTATGAGTTACCATACCCATGTACACAAACACACTTACAAGCTGAAAATGTTCTGAGGCAATCTTGAGAATATACAACTGACTCCCACCCCTCTCTCTCATACACACACACACACACACACATATATCTTTGCCAGAAAAGACAAACAGAGAAATTGAAATGATACAGAATTATCAGCAGGGTCTTATATAACTTTTGCTCATTGACTATTACAACTGTTCCATGAATGGGTGAAACTTGTACAGCACACACAAGATTAGACGTAAGAACCACAAGAGAGCTGACTTACACTTTTTGCTTTTCTGATTTGTTTAATGTTCTTGTCCACAGGGAATCCAATAAGTGGCAGCTTGTGAGTTCCACATGAGTGGTAAAATGAGCTCCATGTTTTGGCCCAAATTTTAAAGGGAGTGGACCTATTTAGGGGGTGATATCTGCACTCTGGATAGCGTCTTCACATTTTGGACTAAAACCCAGTGAGGATTCACTGCCCAACTGACATGAAAGGCACCAGGCAGCACTGAATTTAGTGCTATTTCCCTTTTTATTCTATTAGGAACAAATATTCTCACCTTCTGCTCACAGGTGCCATTAAACTAGTACTTCAAAGAGTACTTACTGAAGAAATGAATTAGGTTAATCCTGTTGACTGTGAATACAAAACACAAGCCTTTTAGTGTTTGATGTGCCTATTTTGCTGATCCAGGCCTAATCTTGATCTGAAAGTCAGAGGTACCGTAAGTCCACTCGGAGGGAAAACAGACTTGCACAGTAACTAAGCATGAACATAATGCTTTTGTCCCATCAGAATGAGGTAAAATATCCTTAATAAACAATTACAATGTGTCTGTGAACATATGAAAGCATCTGTCCATTTGTACTCCCACCACAAGGAATAAAATATATATATATATATGTATCCTTGATTATGATTTACAAAGAAATTATTCTTCAAGGACTTGGTAATTCTTCATTCTCTACTAAATAATCTTTCTTCATATAATTTGCTCCTCGGACCAGCCTCCATACTCCAAGGTAAGCATCTTTTAATGAGCTTTTGCTAAGTCCTTCAGAGCTTCCCTCTTCAGAGATCTTGGGTGTATTTGCTTCTCTCATAATGCTGTCCACCTCTTCTGTGCTTTGCTGGTTGCTTTCACCTACTGCCTCCTCTATCATTGTATCTCCTGGCTCTGTCTCATTGGATATCTCCTCCATTATGAAGGGTGGCTGATCTCCATCACATTCTTTCTTTTCCTCCTGCCTAATTTCCTTCTCCAGATCTTCATAATTACTTTGCTTTCTTGTTTCAATATACTTGACCACACAATAAATGACAGACCCCACAGTATTTACCACCACCCCTGCTATGAACAGTTTTGTGGGCTCAACATCATTGAAGGCCACCATCCCAACGGTAATGGTCGCAATGCTCTTCACTACCCCAACAAAACTAGTAGTGACTGCTGAGTTGATATAAGTGCAGTGAAGTGTAGTGAAATTCATGGCACAGCCAATAAAAACACATGCAATGAAGATACATGTCATGAGAGGATCTTTCCATCCTGGGAAGGACCAAACGTTGATGGCATCCATGCTGGCAAAGGAGAAGATGATGAGGAAAGGGGTGGCTGACACAGCGATGACATACTGGGCTGTCAAAGGTCCATAGTCACTGTCTGCACTCGTCTTTTGGATGAGTACCAAATATGCTGCATGCACCAACACGGCCAGCACTCCAGTCACGTACCCAAGTGGATCCCCAGTCAGGTCACCTGCACCTGCCAATTGGGAAAGAAAGAGAAAGAAACAAGCACTTACACACTGTTCTATGTTTTGAGATCACACACACACAATTAAGCTAAATTCACAGAGGACAGGTTTATCAGGGTTGTCAGGCAGAGCCTGGAAAATTGCTTTTTTTACACTACAATTCCCAGACTCCCTCAGCCAGCATTCTCTATTGAAAAAGATTTTTATATATACACAAGATCTGCTATCAGCTAAAGGGAAATTGGGACAAACAACAATGAACAGTCATAATTCACACCAATTTGCTTTGTTTGTGTATATCCAAATCCAGAGACATATGGCTGGTCTCTTGTTCAAGAGGATTCTGAATTAGATATATTGATCCATCCACATTTATACTCCTGTGCCTGAACCAGTGGTTCCCAACCTATGGTCTATGAACCACTAGTGGTCTTTAAGAACGAAAATATGTTCCACGGCTTCACCATTACTACACCATTGCCTTGAAACCACACAGCAATGCGAGCAACTGGTATCATGAAACCCTCTTATATTGCCAAGGCAACGAAGATGTCAGGAGGGGAGAGGATGATTACTTACTAAAGATTACTACTACCACATCAGCTCTAGATTGTTAAATATGTTTTTGTGGCCATGCAGATGGCAACTACTGGATGGCATATGTTTTGTATCAGAAACTAGAGCTGATGTGGTTTATCCAATGCAATTTTCTGAATCAGCACCTCAAATAACAAAACTGAATCTAAAGTTGACCAAAAACTGATTTGTAACCCTTTTGATATTAATACTGAAGAGTGGTCTGTGGTCAAAGTGGTCTCTGTCCAAGTGGTCCCTGTTTAAGTGGTCCCTGATCAAGTGGCCTCTGCTCAAAAACCGATTGGGAACTACTGACCTAACCTCTAATGCAAAAGGCATGTTCAAAAGTGATGGAAAACTCTATGTCATTTCAATATGGCTTGGAGTGAGTGCCCCTCTCTGGCACCCTTCAGTCTGATGCTCTGTATGAACATCTTCAAATAAAACAAGTTTGGCCACTACTTGGCCTGCCATTAGTCAGTGTCCACTTCAGGCACCAGGCTTTAGATGTTATGAGAGGGAATGTATCCCTGGTGGATAAGTTCTAAGACCCACCCACCCTTCCACGAATACCTGAAATTGTGGATAATACTGAAACCTAAATTTTGACTATACTTGAGCCAGAAACATACCATAGAATTGCACTGGAAGACCTAGAGAGGCCCACAACCATTTTGGGGGGAAATATGTTTGGAGTATGAGTAAGTGAAACTGGATTATCAAATCAGTGGATAAAGGGGTCATACTATATGTTGTATCTTACACCTCATAGGCTGAAATCATTTGGTTGGTTGTGAGTACACCTTGACTGTGGTTCACAAAGCAGGATGGTTTGGATCATCCTTGTCAGTTGGTATTGCCAACAATCCAAACAATATTGGTCTTGACTCTGCATCCAAATTCAGGGCAGTCTCAGTTAAGTAGTGCTGATCACTTAATGAACTGGGAATGCATATGGTAATAAATGCAAGTAATTCCATGCTAAAGAAGAAAGCAAAACGAACAATTGTAGTGGGATTTCTGTAATAAGCTAGCATTCTATACACCCCCAAAGCACAATGGATTGGATTCAATTCAAATAATCTGTACTGAACTGTAACACTGACTGTGGATATAGGGATGTGTGTATGTGTGTGTGTGTGCAGTTGAAACGACTGCATTCAGTGGCAGTCTATATTAGTCTTTATGGTATCCTTCCTTAGATGCATCATTCCCAAAAATGTATTAAATTATATTGGAACTTCATCTGCCAGTCTTTTATATACCAAATTATCTTTTATATGTTATACTGAACAAATTGACTAGAATTAAAGAGTTCATGCAATTTTGCTGATTTAAGACCCCAGCATGAATCCTGTAGTTTTTCAGAATCTAGTTTATAATCTAAACCATACTTGTCGCAAGTAAATTAAATTAGAATATCCTTTATTTGTTGAATAGATTTGTGAAATTTTAAGGGTTCTCAGTTTGAATCCCATTCAGTAATTTGTACTGAAACCTTTAACCATCACTGCAGCAGGTATCGAGGTCTGGAAAAAAGAGGATTGTCTGTTTAAAACAAATTATAACATTTTCACCTTGCTTATGCTTTAAGATAGTACAGAAAACACACTGCTTTTTTAAACCCTCAAATTTAATGGATTTGAGGGGCGAGCTATAAATCAAAATAAAGAACACAGATGGATTCTACATAACTGCATAGCCTTGAACTTCTGCATAGGGAAAGAAGGAAGTAGACAGGCAGGTAAACTTCGTCCATTGACTGGAGAATAGAATCAAAATAATGGAACCAAGTGACCTGAACGGTGTCATCGATTTGAGAAGAAAAGGACACAGGAACCCTCTCCAAGGAAGGCATTTCAGAGACAATGCGAGTTGAGTTCTGAAAGATAATTGTTCCTGTTGTTTCCATGTTCTTTCAAACTGACACTGATTTATGGTGACCCTGTCCTGGGGTTTTCTTGGCAAAATTGTTCAGATAAGGTTTGTCATTCCCTCTTCTTAAAAAGAAAGGGTGTGGATTTCCTCAGCTGATTGAGCATTTGTACTATCTCTTATGACCTTATCACACAGGAAAGCCCTCACCCCAGTGCCATTTCACCAGCAAGTGTGGCAAAACAGCAGGCACATGGGACGATTCCTTCAGCCAGTGTGCTGCTCCAGTACGCGATGCCTTCGCCATCACACGGGAAATGTTGCCCAAACAGAGCAGAAGCTTACTGGTTCCACTGGAGCCAGCACAACATGGGAAGGCTCCCATGTTTGGGTAGAAGTGTCCAAGGATGCTTCCAGCCTGGTTGGGGGTGGGGCCTCTGCTGGAAGTCAGACGATGTCATGTGACAGACATGGAGCTGCATTCCTGAAGAAGGCTCAATGCGTCCTAAGACACTTGTATTTGGAAGTATGATGAGGTCCTACGTGCAGCACTCAAACCACTACATCACACTGGCTCTCTTTTACTTCCCCCACAGCTATCAATATAAGTGCAAAACAACTGGAGCAATATCAAGAAATAGCACTTTGAACTGGGTCCATCTATCTTGAACACATCTGTCTTGAATACAAAATTTCATAGGAATCTTTTCCTAGTCTATCTTCAGTCACATTATTTTATAGCCAGCAAGCACGTGCAGACCACTTATTGTCTGTTTCATGTTACACTGATACCTGCACTGTTTTAAATAGTAAGAGCATGAATCCACACAGCTGGACAGTTCATTGTGCAGGGAAAAGATCAGCTAGCTTTTACAGGGGGTAGTGGGAGCAGAGACAAAAAGACTAACTGTGTTTGGATTGACAATAGTTTACTTTGAGGCACCATGACAGAATGAGTTTTGCATGCTTTACATGTATTTGTTTTGTTTCATGATGGGCAAAAGAGTTTTTCCAATGTTTGCAGCAGCCTTGTGAAAGGTCTGTAGACATTTTCCTAATGCGACTGTGGCAGATAAATGTGTATCTTGTAGCATTATAATAGACGCATGTGATGAGCCATACACTTCACTGTTCCCAGTGCCCTGAGCATGTTTGCAACCATTTTTTAAAAAAAATGAGAAACAGAAGACAAGAAAATGTTAAGTGCACTCATGTAGACAAAACTTCCCTTAATAATGAAATTGTCCACACACCAGAAGATGTTCTGGATCTCTTCTAATGAATCGTACACTCTGTTGACTTGACATAAGCAAATGTGTGCATATTATGGGGCAAATGAATAGAAAGAAGTCTGTCTCCCTGTCTCATCATACTGGAACCAGTCATAATCCACTGAAGCTGAAGAGGTGAGTGGGGGGGGGGGGGACAGAGGAGAGATAAAAGGCAGAACTACACAGTTACACCATAGAATTCAGTGCCAAAAGATTTAGTGCTGCCAGCTTTAAAAAGGGATCAGATTCATTGAGCATAAGGCTATTGATGGATGCTACACAAAATCATTACACATTGAAGGCAGCATCAAAGACAGTGTACTAGATCAGTTGATGGTGACATGAATGGTAGGACATGGTTGTTTTAATGCAGTGGTTCCCAACCTTTTTTGACCAGGGACCACTTTGACCAGGGACCACTCTCCAACATTAGTACCAAAAGGGTTACGAATCAATTTTTGGTCAATTTTAGATTCAGATTGGTTGATTCAGATTGGTTGATTCAGAAAATGGCATTGGATAGACCACATCAGTTCTAGTTTCTGATACTGAACATATGCCATCCAGTAGTCACCATGCTCACCCACAAAAAAAAAACATATTTAACAATCTAGAGCTGATGTAACAATACTAATCTTTTGTGGGTAATCAGCCTCTCCCCTCATGACATCCCTGTTGCCTCAGCACTATAAGAAGGTTTCATGAGACCAATCACTCTTGTTGCTGCGTGGTTTTGAGGCAATGTTGTAGTAATGATGAGGCCGTGGACCATATTTTTGTTCTTGAAGACCACTGGTGGTCCACCGACCACGGGTTGTGAACCACCGTTCTAATGCTTCACTTATTGGGTTTCTCAAGGACCGCAGTTGAGTATGGACTAAACAGGCCATGGCTCCTCTTAGGCTGATACAAAGATGAGAGAGGGGATTTTGCTCCTGTGGTAAGACCACTCAATCCTTACTTTGTACAATTCTTTATGCTATTGGTGAATCAGGGCCAGCACCAATATGGCAGAAAGGGAAAAGGTTCTTACTGTTTCACCTCAACACAGCCTAGGTGATCGAAATGATACAAACAGATCAGTCAAAACAGATGAGTGACTTAACTGTGATAGCTGTCAAAAATAGACACTTCCATGAAAACAAACATTAGTGAAAAGTCCACCTTTTATGAGAGTACTCGCTCATAAAAAGAGAGAAAAACAACAGTGCCACAATATAGATAAGAGGGGAGGATTGATACAAAACCCAAGCTCCCCATTGCTTTCAAATATATATTTCTTTTAGCAATGACTGCAGCAGGAAGCATCTTCCAACCTAAGTATTCCCACTAGAAAATATATCGTCTCCTTTTGCACCTTTGTACAAAAATAACTGAATAGAAAAGTAAGTGCTGGTTAATTGTTTTGTCTTTGTCCCAATTCTTGAGATAATTCGGTCACTTTACTCAGCCAGATCCATCCCAACCTAACTACCTAGATCTACATAGATGTAAATAAGGAATGAACATGATCATCCAAACTTAGTTTTTATTCCAAAACATACAACCATGACTGGATGGATAAACTTTGGCAATCCACTTTTTTTTTTATTCCTCAACTATTAAAATGCTTATAATAGACTTTAATTATAGAGACAGTGACACTGCCTGGTAGATCCATAATGTGGATTTTCACAGGAGTTTTTCTTATTCTTGGCAACAGCTAATATGTGACTGAGAAGCCAGGCAGCTGCATAGGGTTGGAGGGAAAAGGGGAATTGGGAATAACCAGCTGGGCCACTTCAGGCAAAGCAGTTTTTTCAACACAGTGATAACCTCCGAGAGAGAGAAATCACATCTATTCACAATCCATATATACTGTCTAATCGTGAACGCATGGGAATGTATAGATATATTGCTCTGCAGATGCACTTTTAAAAGATACTTGTGTTTATAAATGCTCCTGTTCCCCAAGGGGCCATCTATTTGATTAGGAGCAGGGAAAGTATGATTATATGTGTTTCAAATGCTGAATGATGGTTTCTGCACAGAATACGAACACTGGAGAGAATTTAGAATCTTTTTCCATTTCAGTTCCGCCTAAATAGACTGCAATGAATTGATATGCATTTTAGTAAAAGAGAGAGAGGCTGTATTGGGATTAAGAATATCTCTTTTTTACTTATAAAGAGACAATTTACACACCAAGATAACTTGCAGAGAAGGCACACAAAAGATCTGTACATTGATATAAAGACGTCTATTTATCCCTGACACAACTACTGGTCAGAGCAGATAATATTTCTAAATATATGTCTGCATCTTGAAGGAAGATTGGTAGGAAATAGAGGCAAGATAATAGGTCAGTGAGGTTAGATCAGGCTTGGGCAAACTCCACCCCTCCAAGTGTTTTGGACTTCAACTCCCACCATTCCCAACAGCCTCGGGCCCCTTCCTTTCCCCCCTCAGCCGCTTAAGCTTAAGCAGCTCAGGGGGGAAAGGAAGGGGCCCGAGGCTGTTAGGAATGGTGGGAGTTGAAGTCCAAAACACCGGGTGGGCCAGAGTTTTCCCAAGCCTGCCTTATCATGATAGCCTGAAGGTAACTGTAAGCAATATTTTTAATAATTGTGTGCATGAAACTAAGTTTGTGGACCTTGAACCATCAAAGATGCCCTTATCTCGGTCACCCAGGTGCACAATTTTGTATTTAGAGTATTTCAAATTTTGGAATTCTGGATAAGAAATACTAGACCTGGAGAGAAACCATTAATCTTTTGAGGGAAGGTAAGCTGTGAAGTGAGCAACATGGTGACTGTGGCTGAGGAAGTGGAATTTGGCATTTACAGGAAGGTACAGAACACTGTGCAGAAAAGTATAATGAAAGGATTGACTGCAAGGATTGAAAGGTGACACTGTCACGGGGAAGAGAATAGCGTAAAAAGCGGGGAAAAGAAGTTGATGGTCTGGAAAAAATGGCAAGGTGTCGAGGGTGGTGAGAAATCATATGTGTTAATTCCAACTCTAGAGGTCATCCGAGATGCAATAAGGAGGAGGTGAGGGAGACTGGAGGGTCTGAAACAGGAACAGTGTCAGAGTCCAAAGGGGAAGGGAGCTGTGGGAAATGCCAGGAGAAGCTGGATAGGAGAGAGATGGGGATGCTGGGCTGGCCGGTGGCTGACCAGAGGAGGGTGGGCTGTTGAAGTGGAAGAGAAAGGGGAGGAAGACATTTGTAAACTGAGGTTGGACGGCCATCTGTCGGGAGTGCTTTGATTGTGGGTTCCTGCAAGGTGTCAGGGTCTGACTGGATGGCCCTTGAACTCTATTCCTACTTTATGACTCTATACGATGGCACAATGGGTTAAACCCTTGTACTGGCAGGACTGAAGACTGACAGGTCACAGGTTCGAATCCAGGGAGAGTGCAGATGAGCTCCCTCTGTCAGCTCCAGCTCCCCATGCGGGGACATGAGAGAAGCCTCCTATAAGGATGGTAAAACATCAAAACTTCCACTGGGCAATGTCCTTGCAGACTGCCAACTCTCTCACACCGGAAGCGACTTGCAGTTTCTCAAGTCACTCCTGACACAAAAAAAACCCCCTCTATGAATCCAACAGTTTCTATCATCCTATGCGAATGCAATGCATGAGTGCTCCTACACTATAGAATGGGTACAGTTTGGGACCACTTGTACTGCCATGTATGATGGGAGCTGTAGTTTGGTAGGGCACTAGCACTCTTTGCCAGAGAAGGTTAAGGATTTCATCGCATTGTGCCAGAGCAGTTAAAGTGGTCTCAAAGTGTATCAAATCTGCAGGGGAGATGCATCAGCAGTCAATCCACTGCCACCGCCCCTCCTGGCCACCACCTTTCTGGGAGGCATCTACAGTTTAGCATGAATGTTGAACTACCATGGCTCATTGCTGCAGAATGATGGGTGCTGTGGCTCTTCCCTCTTTGACAGAAAAGGCTAAGGTTCTTGTAAAACTGCAACTCCTGGGATTTCATGGCATTGAGCCAGGGCAGTAGAAGTGGTGGCAAGCTGTATTCATTCTTCAGTGTATTTTTGTATTTTAATATGTATTTTGTAGAACTATGTTTTAATATATGTACTTGATAGAATGTTTTAGGTGATTATGTGTTTTTAGTGATGTTGTAACCCGGCTCCCCATGGAAATCATCAAAGTGGTGCCAAACTGCCTACATTCTCTATTGTGTGTGTGTGGGTGACATGGAGACAATTGAATGGGCATTTGCAGGAAGGTACAGGATAATATTGGGCTGGGAGGGGGGGGGTGTATAATGAAAGGATTATTAGACTGCAAGGATGGAAAGGTGACACTGTGCCAGAGGGAAGAGCATTGGGATGGAATGATCTATGAAGATGTGTTATTGAAGGTTTTCATGGCCAAAATCACTGGATTGCTGTGAGTTTTCCGGGCTGTATGGTCATGTTCCGGAAGCATTATCTCCTGAACTTTCACCTACATCTATTGCATGCAAGTAAGGTTTATATCTATCTATCTATATCTATGGAAGGTCCAGGGTGGGAGAAAGAACTCTTGCCTGCTGGAAGAAAGTGTGAATGTTGCAATTAATCACCTTGGTTGGCATTGCAAAGTCTTGCAGCTCCAAGGCCTGGCTGATTCCTGCCTGGGGGAATCCTTTGCTGGGAGGTGTTAGCTGGCACCGATATAGAAACCTCCCTTGCTTAGTTTCCAATATACCTCACGACCTCTGAGGATGCCTGCCACTGATGTGTGGGAAACCTCAGGAGAGTAGTGCAAAAAAAGCCAATGGGATTTTGGGCTGCATAAATAGGAGTCTAGAGTCTAGATCCAGGGAAGTCATGCTACCCCTCTATTCTGTTTTGGTCAGAACACACCGGGAATACTGTGTCCAATTCTGGGAACCACAATTGAATGGAAATGTTGATAAGCTGGAATGTGTCCAGAGGAGGGTGACTAAAATGATTAAGGGAAGAGAAGGCGGAGAGGAGACATCATGAGGGGAAGTCATAGGGAGGAAGGAGCAAGCTTGTTTTCTGCTGGCCTGGAGACTAGGATGAGGAACAATGGCTTCAAACTACAATAAAGGAGATTCTACCTGAACATTAGGAAGAACTTCCTGACTGTGAGAGCTAGTCCAGAAGTGGAACTCTCTGCCCCCGAGTGTGATGGAGGCTCCTTCTTGGAGGCTTTTAAACAGAGGCTGGATGGCCATCTGTTTGGGGTGCTTTGAATGAGATTTTCCTGGTTCTTGGACTGGGTTGGACTAGATAGCCCACGAGGTCTCTTCCAACTCAATTATTCTAGCTTCTGGAACATGGCCACACAGCTCGGAAAACTCACAGCAACCCAAATCTATGAAGAGCGGGGAAAGGAAGTTAATGGTGTGGGATGGGATGGGGATGGGGGTTGGAAGGTTGGATTGAGGGTCGGGGGGGGGGGGGGGGGGGGGAGGAGTCTGTCTCTTGTCAGGACGGGTGCCTTTGAGCTCCCTATGGAAATCCAAGTGGGGCCTTAATTGGGGTTTTTCCCCCTCTAGTGTGATGAAGTGGTCAGATCTATGAAGAACGGGGAAATGAAGTTGGTGTGGAATGGGATAGGGGATTTGGGGTGGGTGGTTGGATTGAGAGTCGGTCGAGGGGTCTGTCTCTTGTCGGGATGGGTGCCTTTCAGTTCCCTATGGAAATCAAGTAAAGGTAAAGGTTTTCCCCTGACATTAAGTCCAGTCCTGGCTGACTCTGGGGTGTGGTGCTCATCTCCCATTTCTAAGCCGAAGAGCCAGCGTTGTCCGTAGACACCTCCAAGGTCATGTGGCCAGCATGACTGCATGGAGCGCCCTTACCTTCTCGCCGGAGCGGTACCTATTGATGTACTCACAATTTGCATGTTTTCGAACTGTTAGGTTGGCAGAAGCTGGGGCTGACAGCGGAAGCTCACGCCGCTCCCCGGATTCGAACCTGCGACCTTTTGGCCACAAGCTTAGCAGCTCAGCGGTTTAACCCACTGCGCCACCGGGGGCTCCTTGATCCAAGTGGGAGCCTTAATTCTGCGATGCAGAAGGGGAGGGGCTTGGGCTGAGGGTCGGGGTGGGCACCTTTGAGGCTCCCCTGGCTCCGCTTGGACGGCAAGGGTCCCGGGGAGGGGGCTTCCCCTGCCCCCTGGCCCGCCTCCTCTCCTTCCCGGCCCGGCCGGGGACTCACCGGCGAGGGCGGCTCCGCAGGTGGTGATGAGGACGGCGATGGAGACGCCGAGGGAAGGCACGCCGTTCTTGAGGACGAGGACGCCGACGAGGAGGGTGACGAGGGGCAGGCAGCGCTTGAAGACCACGTACATGGGGAGGCTGAGCCCGCGGAGGGACCAGAGGGTGAGGCTGGACTGGAGCGTGGAGAGGAGGGTGACGCCGGCGAAGAGGCGCGCCAGGCTGGGGCCGAAGGGCGGCACGTCCAGGGCGCCCCTCCGCCGCAGCAGCTCCAGGCTCAGCGCCGCCGTGGAGCTGGTCAGGCACTGCAGCAGCGTCAGGAAGGCGAAGTGGTAGCGGCTCAGCAGGAACTTCAGCAGGATGTTCAGCGAGCCCGAGAAGACCCCGTGCGCCACCGCCACCCACACGCCCAGCGCCCGCCGGCCCCGGCACAGACCCTGCATGGCGCCCCCGCCGTCCGCCCCGCACCCGCCGCACCCGCCGCACCCGCCTCCGTCCGCCTCGGTCCCGCAGAGGCAACTTCGCCGGCAGCCCAGAGCCCAGGGAGAGGCAAAGCCTTCTCCCCCGCGATCCCCCCGCCTCCCATCCACTCCCACTCAGGGACTCATCGGCGGGAGGAGGAGGAGGGCCCGAGCAAGAGGGGACGGCGCGGAGATGCCACGAGAGACGACGACGGCGATGCTGACGCAGCAGGCGGACCCGCAGGACGAGGCGCTTCCCATTAGTTTAATTAACAAGCGGGAACCATCCGAGGAGGAACCCGCGTCCAGAGCCTTTGTTCCTGGAAGAAGGGAAGGCTTGAAGGGAGGGAGGGAGGGGAGAGCACAGGAGGAAGGCGCACCGCTTCCAAGGATTGGCCCTCTTTCCCTCTTGTGTCCTCACCACCTCCAAAACCGAGACTTCAGGGTGGAGAAGGAAGGCTTGGGGATCACACAAATACACAACCCTTGGAATAATTTGTGTTCTCTCTTGTCTCCCCCCACCCCCAAACGGAGACTTATAAGGATGGAGAAGGAAGGGGTGACTATCAGGGCAGTGCTCTCTCTCTCTCTCTCTCTCTCTCTCTCGTTTCCTCCCCTCAAACCAAGACTTAAGGACGGAGGAGGAAGGCTTGAAGATCACACAAATACACAACACTTGTGATGATTTGAGCTCTCTCTTGTCCCTCCCCCCACTCCGAAACCGAGGCTTATAAGGATGTAGAAGGAAGGCTTGAAGATCACAAATACACACCACTTGGAATAATTTGCCCTCTCTCTTGTTTCCCCCAAACCGAGACTTAAGGATGGAGAAGGATGGGTTGAAGATCACACCAAAACACACCGCTTGGGATGAGTTTCGTTCTCATGTTTCCCCCCGAAACTGAGATTTATAAGGATGGAGAAGGAAGGCTTGGAAATCACACAAATACACACCACTTGGACTGGTTTGCGCTCGCGCTCTCTCTCTCTCTCTTGTTTCCCCCTCAATTCAAAATTTAAGGATGGAGAAGGAAGAGTTGGCTATCAGGGCAACCCAGACACATACACACTCTCTTGCCCTCTCTCTTGTTTCTCCCCCCCCCCACCCCCCATCACAACCAAGATTTCGGGATGGAGAAGGAAAGCTTGAAGATTACACAAATACACACCATTTGGAATTATTTGCTCGCTCTCTCTCTTGCTTCCCCCAAACCCAGGCTCAAGGGTGGAGATCAGGGCAAGCCATACACATACACACTCTCTTGCTCTCTCTCTCTCTTGTTTCGCCCCCTCAAACCCGGACTTAAGGATGGAGAAGGAAAGGTTGGAGATCTCACAAATACACACCACTTATTTACTCTCTCTCTTGTTTCCCCCACAAATCAAGATTTAAGGATGGAGAAGGGTTGAAGATCACACAAATAAACTCTACTTCAAATGATTTGCTCTCTCTCTCTCTCTCTCTCTTGTTTCTCCCCCTAAACCAATACTTAAGGATGGAGAAGGAAGTCTTGAAGATCACACAAATACCACCTCGAATAATTTGCTCTCTCTCTTGTTTCGCCTTCAAATCAGGACTTCGGGATGAAGAAGGAAGGGTTGACTATCAGGGCAATGCACACAAAGACCCACAGTCTTGTTGTCTTTCTCTCTCTTGTTCCTCCCCCCACCCCACCCCAAACCAAGACTTAAGGACGGAGGAAGAAGACTTAAAGACCACACAAATACACACTACTTGGGATAATTTGCTCTGTCTCTCTTGTTTCCCCCTGAAGCCAAGACTTACTCGGCTTGAGGGGGAAACAAGGGAGAGAGAGCAAATTATCCCAAGTGGTGTGTATTTGTGTGATTTAAAGCAACCGGATTAAAAGTGGATCCATGCTTTACTATGATGAGTGCTCTGGTGTGATGAGGTTCAGGATGGAGAAGGAAGGGTTGACGATCAGGGCAACCCACACACATACACACACCCTTGCTCTCACATGTTTCTCCCCCTCAAACCAATACTTAAGGGTGGAGAAGGAAAGCTTGAAGATCACACAAATACACACCATTTGGAATGATTTGCCCTCTCTCTTGTTTTCCCCCAAACCGAGGCTTAAGGATTGAGAAGGAAGGCTTGAAGATCACACCAAGACACTCCACATGGAATGATTTGCTCGCCCTCTCTTGTTTCCCCCCAAACCCAGACTTAAGGATGGAGAAGAAAGAGTTGACTTTCAGGGCAACCCACACACATGCACACTCTCTTGCTCTCTCTCTCTTGTTTCTCCCCCTCAAACCAAGACCTAAGGCTGGAGAAGGAGGGGCTGAAGATGACACAAATACACACCACTTGGAATTATTTGCTCTCTCTCTCTTGCTTCCCCCTCAAGCCGAGATTGAAGGATGGGAAAGGAAGGCTTGAAGATCACACAAACACACACCACTTCGAATAATTTGCCCTCTCTCTCTCTCTCTCTCTCTCTGTGTTGTTTCTCTCTTAAGCCGAGGCTGAAGGATGGAGAAGGAAGGGCCGAACGAGAGAACACTACTTCTCAAACCCAAGACTTAGGTTTCCACCCAAACACAAAACTAGGATGGAGAAAGGGAGAGAGGGGTTGTGCCCGAAAGCGGCCGAGGGCGACACACGTACACAAATACAGACACTGCAACTTCCGAGTTGTTTGCCCTCAGAGAAAAAACCCAGAGAGGCTACACTGCCAGAGTGAGGCGAGCAAAGCTGGAAGGGGGCGATGGACCCGTCCTGGGCACCATTCCGTATTCCGTAGTGGAGTAGCCATTCCTCCTCATTACATGGATGCGGGCTGAGGGGCTGTTTTCTGAGGAATTAGAGAAACGCACTGATCCGGCCTCTGGCCTGGCGGGTCTTGGGCAAGCACCAGAAACAGGGGCCGAATGGCCGCTTTCGAGGCACCTCTCTCTGGCGCTTGGCGAAGACCCGCCAGGCCAGAGAGGCCGGATCGATAGAGGTCTCGAATCCCTTTCCCTCAAGAGGGTTCAGCGAAAGCTTGGAGAAGCTCCGATCAATAAACTTCCTCAAAGTCAAGCGCCTCCAAACAAGGCGGAAGGGCTTCCTTCGCGCTCAAGCCTTGAAATCCTCTCATGAAAGGAACGCCGTCATATTTGTGTGCAAGAGAGATTGATTGATAGGCAAATGGATGGATGGATGGCTGGGTGGATGGATGGATGAATGGGTAGGAAGGCAGGCAGGCAGGAAGGAAGGAAGGTAGGTAGAGAGGGAGAGAGAGAGAGAGAGAGAGAGAGAGGGTAGTTCGATTAGATAGGTAGGTCGATTACATAGGTAGGTAGATAAATTAGATAGGTAAGTAGGTAGGTAAGTAGGAAGGGAGGTAGATTTGACAGACAGATAAGACGGGAACAATGGCTTCAAACTACAATAAAGGAGATTCCATCTGAACATGAAGAAGAACTTCGTGACTGTGAGCGCAGTTCAGCAGTGGAACTCTCTGCCCCGGAGCGTGGTGGAGGCTCTTTCTTTGGAGGCTTTTAAACAGAGGCTGGATGGCCATCTSTCMGRGGTSCTTTGAATGCAATTTTCCTGCTTCTTGGCAGGGGGTTGGACTGGATGGCCCATGAGGTCTCTTCCAACTGTATGATTCTATGATTCTAGATATATAGATTATATAGGTTAGGGTTAGGTAGGTAGATTAGATAAGTAGATAGGTAGATAGATAGATAGGAAGGTAGGTAGGTAGATTAGATAGGTAGGTAGGACTGAAGGAAGGAAGGAAGGTAGGTAGATAGATTAGGTAGGTAGGTAGGTAGGTAGGAAGGAAGGTAGATAGATAGATAAGGTAGGTAGGTAGATTAGATAGGTAGGTAGGACTGAAGGAAGGAAGGTAGGTAGGTAGATAGATTAGGTAGGTAGGAAGGAAGGTAGATAGATAGATAAGGTAGGTAGGTAGATTAGATAGGAAGGAAGGTAGATAGATAGATAGATAGATAGATAGATAGATAGATAGATAGGAAGGAAGGTAGATAGATTAGATAGGTGGTTGGTAGATTAGGTAGGTAGGTAGGTAGGTAGGTAGATAGGACACATGTCCTTTTTCCGTGCCAGGAAGAATATGAACAAAGCAAGAGGAGATACCTCCCTCAAGGCGTTATGAGCGAGAATAATGATGGTGGTGTTTCCCCTCCCTCACAATTGCAACGCTTGAAGTTCCCTCAGGGTCGCCCATGCTTCTCCCCTCACAAGGCGGGGATTGTGGAGGAGCAGCGACTTCCTCGCCCTTCACCACAGTCATAAAGGTGGCTAAAGGGTAGATTTGGCAGATAGTAAACATGGGCGATGGTTCCACTCAAGTGTCGGGCTCCATCTGTGAAGGGAAGACGTCTCAAGTGTCGGGCACCATTTGTGAAGGGAAGATGTCTTTTCCTTCAGGAGCCTCACGCTCTCCTCGGTGGCCTTTGCCCAGACGACTACATGGCTTGCCCCCAGAGTCATTTGGGTCCTCGGCCTTTATGAAAGGCTGCCGGTCGTCATCGGAAACCCGGGAGGAAAGGGCAATGGAGTCTTCTTCAGAAAGCAGTAGACTCCATTAGAACAGACATGGGCCAACTTGGGCCCTCCAGGTGTTTTGAACGTCAACTCCCACCTTTAGGGGCCTGAGGCTGTTAGAAATGGTGGGAGTTGAAGTCCAAAGCACCTGGAGGACCCAAGTTGGCCCATGCTTGCATTAGAAGAGGGCCCTGAGCAGCAGATCTGGGCAGCAGAAGTGTTCCTTATTTCATTTCTTGTTCCAAAATGTTTCATTTGTTGTTCCAGAATGTTAACTGCCAAGGAGAAGGAGAGGTGTTTGTGTAATTTTGAGTTGTTTGCTTTCGCCTTAGGTGTCCAAACAGTCTACCTTGGGGAAGGCTGCACTTTGACCTGGGAAGGCTGGCGTGGTCTCTGTGTGTTCCCTTTGCTGATCCCTCTTCCTGCTACCTGCCTTCCCCCTCAACAAGAGGGGAAA